TATAAAATTAGTTTTTTAAAAACCAAGCTATACAGACGGAAGTTTTGTGTAAGAAATAAACAAAAAACAACCCACATAATCTACGTTAACTACGATAATTGTCATCAAACTCTCTCTGTGCCAGCCTAGCCATAGTGGAAAACGAGCTACGACCGACTTACTCCACCTAACTAGCAGACGTAAATTTACGACTAAGTTAAGACCGACGTAAACACTACTCCAGTTTGGTGCAACTGGCTTTTCTCGGGCGTAGCATTTTGCGCCCGGTTTACGCCGGCGCAACTGCTACGCCTCACTTACGACCGGTTGGTGCAACCGGGCCCTGGATCGTACCTCTTTACGCTAGATGTGACAGTCCTAAAGCAAGTCTTGCATACAGGTTACTTGCAAGGTTTAATTGCGCACTAAATGATGACACCATGATGTCCATTCTTATCTAAGGCCCCATTCAGAATAGGGTCAAATATGGCAACCCTCTACAAAGCGTGCCGTCTTATACACTAATAGTCACTAAAAAGATAGCTCATGGGCAAATATTCAAGTGGGTCGGCCATATTTGATCCTCGGACTAGTTAGCCCCACATTCTGAATGGGGCCTTATGGACGACTCAATCAAACTTAATCAAAATGTTTTGATATTTATGAGAAGATTACTTACATAATTCTAAATAAAATAATAACAATACTGCATCAATACTTCAGTGGAAAAAAACGTACCGTAAAATCTCCTAAACTGGAATACTGACTAATGTCGATCGCATTAGAACTTTTCCACGTATCGAAACGAGTCGAAGTAGAAGACCAAACTTGGTACACCTGTCCTACCGGAATCGTGCTTAATGATACTGACAGTTGCACTCCGTCGGCGTTATTGAAGTAATAGTAGAATTTCATATAACATGGGCCAGTGGTTCTTGATATAACCGGTGACTGAATGGTTGTCCTTTCACTGTTTGGCATGCCGTTTGCCCAGTAAGCATACATAAACTGGCCCTTTGATCCTGCAAAGTGTTCAATATAAAATAATGCACATGAAGTTCTCTAAATTGGTTAAGATAAGGCTTCATTGGACTGAAAATTGATCATTCAATGGGCTTCGAAAAAAAAAAAGATGAATACAATGTATTTAAAGATCTGTCCAGCACAACTGTCTATGTGTCACGAGTTAAAGGATATCCTTCCTATGATTTGATATGCGAAGAATTTCTTTCTCAATTTTTCTGTATGGGACAAAATGTTAGGCAAAATCTGCCTGTATAAGAAAATATGGAATGATGTCCTTCAGTATTTCTCGATGTTATACTAATTGAAACCATATGGAGTTTTGTGAGGAAAATCTGACTTCAAATGCATCTTTAATGACTGAATTCATGCAATGAATGAACTCTTGTAACATAGAAATGGCAAGACATCGAAAAGAAAAAAAAAGGATTTTTACGAAGTTGATTTTGTCAATATATCATTATTATTTATCTTCACAACAGACTTGTCTACATTGATAATTATAAGAAAATTGACGAAGTTTCAGGTTTTTCTTTTCTTATAACATATATGACAAATTTTTATAAAAATTTCCCTCAAACGTTTTTTTTCTAAGGAAATGCTGTCTGGACAGACTAAAAGATTAATCACACTTGATGAGAAACCACAAAAGACAAGCGTGACGTGGTCTTCAGGGAGACAGAGTGCAAAACGTATATGGAAAGAAAGATCAGATGGCAGTCGCAAAGTCATTCAACTGAAAGGTGACATTTCATACATGGTGCAAATACAGACAGCGTCCCTAGGGACTGACTTTTCGAATAGCATGGCAAAAAGCATACCGCAATTTTTTTTAGGTAACTGTTCTGTGCAAACATTACGTAAACACGGATTCTAAACATGGCTGCTTGCATCAGTTTATGTGATAACAAATGGAAACCTCGATGAAAAATGGTTTTCTTTCACTGAAATAGACAATACTTTCTTTCATCGCTGATAATAATAATAATAATAATAATAATAATAATAATGATAATAATAATACAAAATTACAGGCCACTTCGCCATACCTACAACACTCCCAACTGTGTGGTCATAGTTAGGCATGCCTTTATTAGCACCGGTCCTCTGCCACTTGTAATTTGCACTGGACCATGCCACTGAATAACCACAATCAAAGCCATCGAATGTACATGGAGCCCCCAATCCTAAATCTAAAAAAAGTACAAACACGTGTTGTTAGGCACGTTTGTAGGCATCGGTTTTTCGTTTCAGTCATAAGTGAGATATTGGTTTACTTGCGGACGGGAATAACAAAGAATGGTATTTGCACTGGAGGACACGTGTCTTCGATTATTAGACTGTAATTTCTGAACAATGTCCCCGATTTTCAGACGTGTGTTTGATTATTAAAGTGTAAATATCGATAATATTTTAATGTTGTCAGGGGATACATATAGCATAACAGTGACATCGTACCTGGCTCTGATACTACGGGCACAGCAGATGTGACGGTCGTGGACACTGAAGAGCTTGGGGAGGGCGTGTTGATCACTGCTGGTACTGGAACATATGTAAGCTTTACCAATTAAGTACCAAATGAGAAACTTATTCCTTTTTTCAATTTTTGAGGGTAAACAGAACAACATACACAAAGTAAGCTTGATAGCCCCAAACTGTGGTAAAAGCAAAAAGTATCAAATATGAATTCATGTACGTAAACATTTGAATACTCAGTTTCTTTGTTTTTATTTATTTATTTATTTATTTATTTATTTATTTATTTATTGTCTTGTTGTTACCTGTGCAGGGTGGAGTAGAACAATCGCATCCGGAGAAAAATACGTCATCAACAGAGACGATCTTGCCAAAGGTAATACCTGGTTTCATTTGTGCCCGGATCTGGACCTATTAAGACAAAAAACTTCTAAACTTAGATAAAATACTTTAAGGAGCTTAACGATTTGCAACAGGGCAAGACAAGACTTATCCTCTTTTGAAGAGTTTTTTTACTCAAAGATATTACAAAACCTGTCAGCTTAAAATTTGTATAGATCAGCATTTTATTGAATTATAATGAATATTTTAGTCAGTTAAACCTGAACTTGGATGCATTTTTAATACACTCTATAAGCATGTATTTGACAACAAAAAACCGGCTGAGTAGCTGAGTACCTGGAATCGTCCCCCAGAAGAGAACTGACTAAGATCTAAAACACCACTGGACTCCCAACCATTGGTGGCTCCATTGCCTGGTTTGTACCAAATCCTGTTTGGTTGAACTAGATTCAAAGTTAGTACATACACAGCCAGACTTATGTCGTCACTGTTGAAATAGTAGAAGAACGACATGGAACAAGGTCGATTTGTCTGAGATACTACCGGTGACGTCATACTTGTTGTTTGTTGGCCGGATGTTCCCCTCGACCACTTTGCCATCATGAATTGTCCTTTAGAACCTGGAGTACCAAAGGGTGAAAGTTTCTTGAATGTTAGCAATGTGCCAATGTACCAAGAAATGTCATACTAAAACGCATAACTTTAAAATAATTACAGCTTAAAACAAAGGGAATTCGTCACAAAGAACGAAGAAATAAGTTGTGTATGAGGGGTAACAAGGTTTCAAGCGTATAATCAATCTATATATTTTGTGAAATGAGGTATAACAAACATGCGAAATTAATTTTTCTACCAGACAAGACTTCCCTATATGTTGACATATCTGCAACTATTTGCAAATAACTGACAATAGTCTTTACCAAATACTCTCCCTATGGTATGATCTTCTGTTGGGAGACCTTTATTCATACCGATCATCAGCCACTTGAAACTGTCTGGCATGTCCGCAGTGACGGTGTAATCGCACATGGCTCCATCGAATGTACATGGAGCTCCAAACCCTGGGGATCAAGATAATTATGGAATCAATACAAAAAAATAGGGAAATATTTTCCATGTTGTATGGTATATTTCAAATGACGTAGTTAAATCTTCTCATACATCAAATAACATTTACAGTATAATGAACTTTACCAAGAAAGCACTTATATAGCTAATTGTCTTTTTGCCATTTGAAATATAAGTATAAATTTAAGACCATCTCACCTTTTACCGCAGGAGTTGTCGCTGTCGATGAAGTGATACGCTGCACCGTAGTGGATTTAGTAGATGATGGAGTCAGTGTTGGCGGGGTGGTAGATGTTGAAAAAGTACCAGTTACTAAACCTAGTACGAGACAAGATGTGTTTGTACGCATATACATCTGTAGCTAAACCATCAAGCATAAGTATTTTAACTCAATTCATGTTATGTACGGTGAAGGGTGTATAAAGAAGCCTGGGGATTAAATCACAGTGACTACATCCTTTTGAACGGGAGAAAGCCACATCATGTGCTATAAGCTTAGGAGTAAAATATTAATTGTACCTTTGCATGGAGGAATGGCACAATTGCATCCACTGAAAGAAACGTCGTCAATGGATACCACCTTGGAAAACAAATACTTGGATTCCAGTTGGGCTTGAATCATTACCTAAATAGAAATGTAAGACACCATTCAAGAAAAAGTCTTCATACATGTACGATGTCGGCTTGTCTTATTTAGAGAATTCCATATTGCAAATGTAAGTGATATTTTTCAAGAAATTGTTAGTCAAAATAATTGGAAGACAAACAAAAATGTTTTGAGCATAAATAATCCAGGTTTTACTTACCTGGAAGTCCCCTTTATTAGAAAGAGAACTGATATCAATGGATCCACTACTTGTCCAAGATAGCGCCATGCCTTTATTGACCCACACCTGGTTTTGATGATTTGTTGATAGCGTTTTTACAAAAACTGTTAGTGTTATTTGGTCGGTGTTAAAGTAATAATAAAACTCCATGCTACACGAAGTACTTGTTTGTGAAATAACCGGTGATAATATGGTTGCTTTCTGGCCGTTAGCATTACCACTTGGCCATTTGGCTGTGAGAAATTCTCCCTTTGACCCTATGTGAGACAAATATATTGAGTCAAACATTAAACGTAATTTATAAATCAATGAAGGCGGTGTAGTGTATGAAACAAGATATATTTTTGACAGCAGTTTAAGACGCAGGATACCTTTACAAGCATTTACAAATCCACTATTACGAGACACAAACGACTTAACAGAACTGCAATAACTTGGAACACGTAACATAAGCTTTTTGGAGATTTCTCGGTTCCCAGAACACCTGTTTAAACCATTCTTACTACATCATCTTGCAATTTTTATAGCAAAACGTTGGTATCTATAGGTTTTAAGAACTTCTTTTGAGGTGCACCCGAGATTGTATAACTACCACGCAGTGATATAAGCAAAACACAGTTGTCAGTCTACATGTTATTCTCAGTGCAAATGTTATTAGTCAACTCTAAAGACCTCTTGTCAAAGATTGCTAGTTAATGACTTCTTTCGGATTTACTTAAAGTGCCCTCTATTGAATTAATTCTCATTTTCTATTAAATTACCCTGTCTTTCAGGATTATATAAATCGAGACATCGTTTTGAGATGCACGCGAGATTGTATAACTTTCACGCAGTGATATAAGCAAAACACAGTTGTCAGTCTACATGTTATTCTCAGTGCAAATGTTATTAGTCAACTCTAAAGACCTCTTGTCAAAGATTGCTTGTTAATGGCTTCTTTCGGATTTACTTAAAGTGGCCTTTATTGAATTTATTACCCCTTCACTAAAGCTTTCTAAGGATTTCAGATCACATGTATCACGCAGTAATATAAGAAAAAAAGCATACCGTAAATGTCAGCCTCGGTACTAAATCAACTCTAAAAACCGCCTGTCAAAGATTGTTTATAATGACTTCTCATTTTCTATTAAATAACCCTGTCATTTATGATTATATATATCGTGTTATTGTTGTTACTTTCAGTTTGTTTTTCAAATTTCAACTTTTAGAGAGCCAGCAATTTTTTCATATATTAAACCGCGTAGCATTACTAGAACGTTAAAAATGAATACTTTTTTCAATGATTTTTTTCTTCCGGGGGTTAAATCTGTGGGACGAGTCCAAGTTCCAACATAAACAATGGAAGTTCAGGTTTGTACATCAAGGGATAAAGGAATTACGTTTGAAACATACATGTATGTTATACCCCCCAAACGCTAAATACAGAAATTGTACACTACTTGGGTGCAGAACCTGCTTAAGCAATTTAGTTATGATAATTAATGTTTTTTTGTAACGTTTACCAGATGTTTACAATTATCCTGTACATCTATGTCATTTGCAAAAATAAGATTACAATTTTTCTTTAAATTTGTAGCAGACTTCATACTCTGCCATGACAAAAAATATTAATTTGTTCATTTGACAAAAATATTATCAAATGACAAATAATTCTTAATCAAACACAAAAAGAGTAAAAAAAAACACCAAATAACAATTTTATATGAAAGTAAGATCCCCCCCCCCCCCCCCACCTTATGAGGCAAAAAGTATTCAACGCGCCAAACACATATTTTTCATTATTCAAAAATCATACCCAATATATGACCATTTGTGTGTTCTTCGGTTGGCATTCCTTTGTTATTTCCTATCTTCTGCCATTTAAATTTATCTTCATCGGAAGTCAAAGAATAACCACACAGGCTGCCATCAAAGTTGCACGGTGACCCATAATCTGTAAAAAGTTGGCATGGTATTATTCGTTGTAAACAACGGGAACGTCCAAGGACAGGCGATAATAAATTATATCAATCAGTAAACTAGGAGCATTTGATGTTATCGTTTGTGTACAGGACTGCATAAGTGTGTCATTGGCTCGTTTTTTGTCCACGTATTGTAAATGTTTAACAGACATGTCTAAAAACACCTTAAATCAAGTTCATTTCATTTCCTGGACTTATCATTAAAATCTGTCTGTGCGTCCGTATCCATTTAAATGCTCAGGGTGAGATACCGAGATACATATTGAATCTCATGATCCATCAGCGTCCACGGACCCGACCGCAGAAGAATTAAACAGTTTCATTATTTATAGATAAGGGATGTTCCAGAATCTGATACATTTTAAACATAATTCAACAGAAGCGAAGCTACATGTATTTGAAAAAAAAACTTAGGAGAAATAAAGAAAGCTAATCAATCTTTAAAAATAATCGAAAATAAGTGTGTTACCCGAAAGAGAAGATGGCATCGAGGTAGTAATTTTCCTCGAAATTGTCGTACTAGATGTGGTGGAAGACATGGTCGTAGTTTTGAGAGTAGACAAGGAAGTTGATGAGGTTGGATTTACAGGGCCTGCGCCATTGCCTAGAGAAACAACAACAGGATGATGAAATGCAAATAAACTGTACTCGAATAGGGAACTTCTAGTAATGTGTGATATCATTATAAGCATATACACGTTTATTTTCCAAAATAAAAATCCATGCATTGACGTGTTCTGTTAAATCAAATCAATTTGATTCAAGGCGTTCTTCTTGTACAGCAGAAAATAATACTGCTTACAGGGCCGTAGCCTCCGGGAGGGCAGGGGGGGCAGCTGCCCCCCCCCCCCCCCGGGATTTGAGGTGCAAAAAAAAAAAAAATTATAATAATCGCAAAGGTAAAAAAAATAATTGCAAAGTTGGTTTCAATTCTGTGAGAAAAAGGCACTCATGGCCACTAGACAATCATTCAACAATCTGTTTACAAAGGTGTACTGTTTTTAGCCAACTCAGTTCATGCCAAAAAGCTCACCCCCTTAGGAAATGAAGTCCAATTGGCGTGTTGTGTTGAAAAAATAACTGTACTTATGGCAAAATGAACCCACAATTTCTGACTTCTGATTGAGCAATAAATAACAGTTAAAATGCACCAGAATGCAGTATCACAC